TGTCAATGATAGCGATATAAATATTGGAAAATGATAAGTTTGTTGTTGCAAGGTTTCATCACGTTAAACGTAAAACTTGTTACGAATAGAATCGATAATATAAATAAAGACATATATTATAAAAAAAACTAACGCAGCTCTTTGAATAAAATATATTGCATGAAATAACCGTAACAATAAATTAAAAACAAAACTTAATTATGATTGCAAACATAAGGATGTCATTTCAGTATGCATTTTTGTTTTAAAAGGTATTGCAACAATATAAAACAACAGTTCGAAATCTTCAATCATCATACTTGTATATCAAAACGGCCTTCTGCTGTTGCTTTATGTTGGAAGAAAATATGTTGTTTCCATTTAAGTATTCCGGTATATTTGTCATGGAAAAAACGCAACATATCACGGTAAAGCTGTCTTCAAAACAGCCTTCCGAGAACTAATTATATTTAGATCTATAACGCGTCAGTGACGTTCGTTTCTAAAGGTAGCCCCGCTTTACTGATTAAGATTGCGGACCAGAACATAGGAGGTCTTGAACGGTTTCCTTATTTTCATGTATTTCATTGTCGGCAAATTGAATATTCCACCTTAATTCTTTTCATTTGATAATTATGCGAAACGCTTTATGTAAAAGATAAACGTAGTGTCCTTTCAATAAACTGAAGGCCGCTTTAAACCCGTATGCTGTCTATGGTCAAGTTATTGAAATGCTTATCAATAAGTTCCAGAAATATTCATAGCTATAATATGACTATGTTTACTTGTCTTTCTGAATGATTGTTAGTTTTGTTTTCTAATAAGTTAATGAATATAATTGTTTTATTGCTTTACAAACGCATAATGATTTTACCTTGGGTATATTCAGACAAATTAACAAGGAGAAAGCAAAGTAATTGGACCCCCTCCTTGCTTTCTTCTCTTGTTTTCATTTTATTCTTTTTGGTTTGAAACATCTAGAACAAAACCATGTTTGAGTGCCTGTTAATTGTGTGATTGAGAATAAAACAGGCTAGCAACATACATGTTTCTGTCAGCAATTCGTTGTACAGCTGTTCAAAATCGACTTGATTTCGTCGCACCGACTGCATTTGTTTTACTTTTTCATGGAACTCTCTGATGTATATTTTCAATTTGACTAAACTTATCGATTAACATAGAGGCCATGTCTAGACCTATTTGCTTATGGGCCTTGGTGATACTTTTAACAGCTGATTTGAGAATCAGGTGTTTAAATTTGTTTGTGTGTTTGTTTGGTTCTACGACGCAACAACACAGTAAAGGACATATTGCCGCGACAGGAAAGATGATTATGTCTAACCATGGTTGTAACATACGTAACAGCAACACCAGTGGTCAAAACCACTTCACCTGCTGGAGCTGAAACTACAGTTATTCAAACCGGTTTGGTCGCCTCTTGTGATCATTCAGAGATAAACGTTGGCTGTAACTCGTATACATTAAATATAAAAGGCAATCCCTTAGCCACCAGGTGTTGGACAGGGGTTAAATTAAAACTGTTTTTTTTAATATACAACTTTAACATAGAATCTCATCATAAACGGCAGTTTAAAACTGTTTGTTCAGAAATGAAAAACAGTTTGTTTTCAGTGGCAAAGTCATGATTTTTGGTGGACAGCGTCGAGTGTAATTAAATTTATGCCGATTGTCCTAATATCATTGCATATTCTTGGTTGTGCTTTGTATGATTGAACTTTTATATTTATGTAATATAAACAATAATTCTGCAATAATTTATGATTATGTCATCAATACAGATTATGTATACACGTTGTAACATAAAGGTTCCGTTACCACATTTTGGTACAAGCCCTTTACGGCAACTCATTTGTTTGACCTTTCTACCGAATCTTAGAAAAAGACACGTAATGTTTTTGGATAATGATAAATTCCACTCCCAATACAAAATGTTGACGTACATTTTGAAAACAAAAAGAAGACAGGGATATCTAGGTCAGGTAAACCAGTTACAGATGATTGAGCAACGTCATATTTCTAATACGATCCCATGTCGGATATATGATAGAAGAATATAAATCGATCCATGTTAGCTGATTATTCTCTGAAACTCTCTGAATTTAAATTGGTTCTTATGTATTCGTTAAAGGAATAGGAATGGATGGATTGATGAATGTCTAATATAAATATTCATCATTTAAAAAGTGGTACCATGACAGTTGTTCTGTTGATATCAACCCTATAAGTGTTTTCAGACACTATTTTTTACTTGAGAAATAAGTTCATTTGGCGTTCTGTCATTCTCGCGAGACAGACGAGACCGAGATTGTGACGTGTTACACCCACTTCCGGTATAGGTGTTCACGCTGGTACAACTGAAATATATCTTGATGAAGAACTTATTAATCTTATTGCGTACATTAAACATTATTTATGAATACATCATATGGAACTGAATTGCTTTAATTAATTAATTGAAGACGCCGCGGCATGAATTATCATTTGTCCGATTTTCAAGCTTGCTGATGATCCCACCACATGATTTAAGCAATGATTGCTTAATTTCAAAGATAAACCATCAATCTAATTTGGGTACTATGAGAAACGTCTTCAAATTGACGATATATTCCTTCATTTTGTACTTAATTTTCGCTAGACAAGCTGTCCTATTGGGTACATCGCCGGTCATGTATCTTTTTTTCAACGTAAAATATCAACTACATCCGATATGCAGAGATCTGCTGAGGACGCGATTTTCCGCCATTGACTCTCAAAATGAGAATGGCGCAGGAAAATCGGCAGCCAGACTAATATCGTATGAAAACAAAACTGTCCGTTAGGTTATTTAGGCACCCAGTCAAAACTGGTACCAACAGCAACAGGTTGTCCATTCCCCTGTAATTACGCATATTCATTTTGACCTATATGATTCACTATCATTTAACAATCCTATCTACTGATACCTTTATCAAACAGACGAAATAGCATTTAACTAGGGTCCCATTTATAATTACTAAAAAGTCATTGGTATAATGAAATGTAAAATTTATTGAAGACCGTATTTTTTACATGACAAATATAAACAACAGCAATTCGATTTTAATTAAATATACCATTAAAATGTATTTATAATATTGAACACCTAAGTGTTCAGCTTTATTATCTAACACTAACAAGGTCACATTATTCAACATTTAGAATGATGGAGTTTGCATTAGTATTATCAATTCATAGACATATGTTGATAACGTCATTGACGTTAAGTATGAAGCAAGGGATGTCATTAACTTACAAGGCTGAATATAAGAGAGTAACCGAAGTTACTTTTAACTAAGAAGCAAATATACAAATCAAGGCATGTACGGAAGACGTGTGACAACAACGCCTGTGAATGCTCTTTCTTTTTTATACCCACTTACGGTTGTTTACATGCCGTACACTAGGAGGGACTTAGGTGTTAATATCATTGTATATAAGCAATGTATGACAGTTTTTATTGGAAAGGAAAGGATTTATTATTGCGATATAAATTATGTCAAATTCAACGTTTAATAATTTGCCTCGGTATTTGACTTGATTGTTGGAGTAGTATGAACATTTCCTGATATTAAATATTTATCTTAAAAAAATAATACAATGTGTGTTTTAATTACAGATGCTTATTGTTTACAACTTTTTAGAAAAAAATATATAAACAAAAGTATGAGTGATTGAGTTGTCCGCAAAGATCATTTGACTATCGAACCAACCCTCTTACAAATATTTCGTTATAACCAATATATACAATATATATCTTTGTCGTACGAATACAATTTTTGAATTGAATACTGTATATGTTCGGTTTATCTTGTAAATTACAGATTATCAAATAGTGTAACGTCAAAATCAATGTCAGTTATATCGGTGAAGGATTTTTGTACCAATGGACAAAGCAACTATCTTGAAAGTTATTAATGTACAATAAAGAATGATTTTTAAAGATACAACGAACAACAGCGTAATGCTCAGTTCGGTCATGGTTCGCTGGAATGAAAATAGGCGTCAAGGTGTCAAGTGCCGTTTGACAGCTGTGAAATGTTGCCCCGTACTTCATTTCACTGTTGTTATATTTTCTGGTCCTTCGGGATCATTGATGCCAGCACTATTTAGTGATGATAAGTTAGTACGGCTCAAGTCGGTGCGTGGGATGATGCACTTGTTCATTATCCTTCTTTTACAGATTCAATGAAACCGATTCTGAAATTTTGATGTTATTTTGTTGTTATTAATGCTTCCGAACGGTTACTTTGTTTCCAGATTTTTCTCCAAAAAATCAATGATAATTATACGTGCATGCAAATGTATGGTCGATTGCATTCACAATCTGTATTTTTGTGCTTTGAAAGATAATTGTTTCTTTTAATTTTGATCAAGGTGCATTATCATACTCGTAAAGTATATTAACACCATATTCATCTATTTTATAGTTATAACTTAGGTGACGATTGTTCTATATATAAATGAGTCATTCTTCGTTATTAATATTTTGTGTCAACACACCATGTGTACAATACATTTAAAGCTATCGCACATACTTCTAATGTTGTATATTTATTAAAATAGTTTTCATCCTTAAATTAAGAACTATACTTCAAGGGCAAAAAGAAATATTGAAAAATATTAAGACTTCTCAATATATCCAGAAGTCAGTCTTATTAAATGTATGTACATTTGTATCAAATGAAAGCAAAGGCCGTTATAGGTAGCAATTTTTTCCATTTTAAAGTAAATCAAAGCATTTGTGTTCATAGAAAACAACCCATAAACATTTATATCATTTTGTTTAAAATGTATCACATATGAAGTATCAAATAAAGTCAGGTTTGGTGTCCACAATTAAGAACAGGCAAAGTCCTGTCACGTGTCCCGTATGTATAATGTACCCAATGGTATCCAATAAGTAACACATGATTTGTCACGTGATAGATAGCATAGATAATAATAAGTATAAAATATAGTCCCCGTCAAATCAAAATAAATATTTAAAATAGTGTTTACTGTTGCGTATGAATACAAAAGGACACTATCACAATGGAGTTATATTAAAGAGAGAAACTGTAAGTTGTTATATTATTAAATACTTAGATATTTATTTAATATGATATAACTGACCTTCAATTCTAGAATATTTTTTATTTATAATAACACTTATATATCTTTAGTTTATTCCCGTTGTATATCTTGATATATACCGACGAGCAAGGACGGTTTAGAGTTATAATTTGCTAATGTAATGAAAATAAGCCAAAATTGCCAATGTTTGTTGGGAACGAGTCTGTTAAAATGAAACCAATCATAACTCAATTGTAAAGGTGAATCTGTAAGAAGACTCCTTTAAATAACTGTTCCCTTCCACGTGGATTCATTGCAGGTGTTGAAATATACGGTGTCTTGTCTGGGCTAGTTAAAAGTCACATATTTACATGCAAGATTGTTTTTTATCTAAAAGTATTGTGTCGCCCTTTTGTATTTCCTATACATAAAGTAACATGATTATACATGTTCAAATGAAACTTTTGGCGCTATCCAACGTAAAATTTGTCGCTTCGTTCATTTCCGACAAAGGAGAACAAACGGTGTTCTCCTTCGACTCTTTCTTTTTCTATGACAAAGAAGAACTATTGGTTTTCTTCTTCTTCTCCTTCCGCTCTTCCTTCGTCGGAATTTAACGAAGCAGCCGATTGTGAAGAAAAAACATTGATGTAGCTTCATCTGAATTTAACGAAAAGCCAAAAAGAAAGTTATGGGTTGTATATAAGAGAATATAGTTATCCTTCTTGAGTGTACTGCGGCTTTCAATATTTTATAGACGTGAAGAAGATAGATCGCTAGGTCAAACAACAATTTATCCTCGGCTTTGCCTTGGACAATTTGTTCCTTATCCGAGAAAACTGTAAACTGTCTTACGTCTGTAAAAATACACTTTTGAAGAAAAACTCATACTGTATCCTTTACATAATCTGCTTTGGTATTGTTATTGACCAAGACTAAACAGATTGTTGCCTATAAATACAGTCCCGATATGAAATAAGAGTTTGCAAATGGTTCTTATCTATTAGTTGTCACTGCATATTCTGTTTGGACCCTGTAGAGTAAATGAAAAGTTTCGTTGTATATTTAGTAAGCTATGTATCGACATGACATGTATATACTTACGACAGCCGATGGGTAGGGGTGTGCATTAAAGTGTTACGGATAAGAATAAAGATGAAAACAGCTAATTCAAAATAGGAAAAGGTGCATTAATATTAAAGTTTATTAACTTATTTCTTATGTATACGACCAATGTCAAAAATCGTCATTTTACAAATCTATCCATAATATTTAAATTATTATCAATGTTGTTTCAAATAATCTGCCGTTTGACTGACATTATGTGATGTTATCTTATTGTGGAAAACGTATTTTCATTTCTTTAAGTAATTAACATAATTTCAAATTTGTGTTAACAGTTGATGATAACTATATCAAACACTGTTTGCTTCTTATACTGATAACGTTAAAGTAATTAAATCATCATCTCTCATCGTAGATAACTGTCTTCTTATAGATTGCGAGTGTGTAACCTTGTATTCCTTCGATGTTATTTAAGTTGTTTTTTCCAATTTCCAAATTTCGCACCCCTCTGTTTTATCTGTTCTCCTTTATATGAAATGCAGCTTGTCATTCGATGTTTTATACCTCTGACTTATCTCATGATTTGTCTTTTCATTTTTGCTCGTAACTTTTAAGCTTCTTTTCCTACGTTTTGCAAACAGCAGTCAAGCTAACTCAAGTAGGTGGTGCGATACTTTGTTTTCATGAGCATCAACGCCAATAACTTCGAAAATTCTGTTTTCATAAAGGTTTATCATTTTGCACATGTATTATTTTTATTTTGTATATATCATTCTTATAAGTTTTATTTGAAAAGTCGGCATTGATTTTTCCTGTTTTGACAATTTACTCTTTAGATACTTACCTGAACAATACTACTAAAGGAGCTTAACAAAATAAGAAGAGCATATATCATAGTTTGGGTTATACCTTAATTTAAGCATTAAAATTGGAGTATTTGCATCTTTTGATAAACATTAACGTACACGGCAAATAAAAACAGTTGACTGGCAGGTGTACCTTTTGTGCTACAACATATTTATGACAGAAAGTATAGACCCTATATTCAGCAACAGTTGAATGATTGGAACATAATTATAAGGGAATATCTCATGATTAAAGTACTAACATGAATATTTGAAATAGTATTATATACATCTTTAACACTAAAAATAGTTTAATATCACTTTATTATCTAACAGACTATATATAATGGTCAAGTTTGTTTCCCTTTGATCAACACAACATATAAATAAATATACACAAATATACATTCAAGAGTTCATAAAAGCATTAAATCACATAAGAAATCATAAACAAATCTTATCATTATTTCGATTTTCTTTCCATGGAATTACTACCCTTTTCCAATTTACGGGATATTTATGTCGCCATTTTGTACTCTATCGAATAAATAAAACTTTATCTCGCGATATGTAGCCTATACAGTATGATTTTCAAAAAAAAATCATGTCAAAAATAAAATTTATTGAATATAGGGTGTTACTTTTCTAAACATGTATTTTATGACAGTTTTTGGTTTTTCTTATAAATAGGTGCCGACAAATAAAATGATTACTAAATGGCAACAATATAATGGGGTCAGTATACGTTTCCGTGAAGAATAGTACATGTACTTACTACGAAAGTTAAGCAGTAGAAATATGTCAGTCCTTAATCAGTCCTTGATCCCACGTAACATGTAAGTAAGTGAATCAATCTTAAATATTTTTATTGCTTAAATGTTCGTACATTTTTCTCAAATTAAATTTATTTTCTTGAAATATTTCGGTTCATCTGGGGGCATGAATCTTTAACATATTTGATATGCATTTTAGAAAAAAAAGTGCTTCAATCTGTTCTCTTCCTTAATTATTAAGAAAATGGCCGGTATTTAGATTTGGAACTAAAATATCTTCCCTTAGTACTGTTGGAGATACAAACTTGCAAGCAAATACGTAACCACAATGCGACACCGACGCTGCCGGAGAATACAATAGCTTTTCCCATGCTTCAAATAGTCGAGATAAAACAAGAGATTTAGCCAACCTTAACTCTAAACAGGCTGTTTCTTAAGTGCCTCAAACAGCACACAATAGAAACGGACGGAAAGTTGTAACGAACTTTAAATCGCAACTCAGATGTAATTGTTTTAAGAAGAAAATAAATTGGACGGTCATTTCCAAGAACAAAGTAATTGTTGATTTCAGCATTGATTGTTTTTTCATCGACATTAGTAGTTGCTCGTTGGAAGATGCCGAAAATCATTTCTTGCATCACGTCTGATATTCAATCAGGTAAAAAACCAAAACAACTTACAGACGTGAAGAAGATATATCGCTAGGACAAACAACAATTTATCCTCGGTTTCGCCTTGGACAATCTGTTGTTTATCCGAGAAAACTGTCTTCTTACGTCTGAACTCGTACTGTACACTTTACATTACCTGCTGTGATAAACCTTCCATAGTTAATTGCTCAAGTCAAAGCAGATTGTTGCCTATTAATACAGTTCCGATGTGAATTAAGGTTCTGAAAATGTCTCTTATCTATCTTAAAGTACAAGTCACTGCATGTTCTGTTGGAACTCTGTTAATGTAATGAAACGTTTCGTTGTATATTGGGTACGCTGGCTTACAAGTATATACTTAAAAAGGAAAAAGGGGCACTGATATTAAAGTTTATTAAGTTAAAGTTTATTAACTTTTATGTATGCGATCAATGTAAAAAACGTCATTTTACAAATCTATCCAATACCTTTAAATCATTGTCAATGTTGTTACAAACCATCTGCCGTTCGACTGACGTAATGTGATGTTATCTTATTGCATAAAATATCTGTTTCATCTGCTTGCTTTTGTGGGTTTTTTCTTTACCCCTGTGTTTGAAATAAAAGCGTATACATTAAGTCAATTTTATCAGAGATATACTATACACATAATATTTATTAGTTTTTGGCATCTGTTCATGTTTTTCTTATTTTCATTTCTTTAAGTAATTCACATAATTTCAAATTTTTGTTAACAGTTGATGATAACTATATCAAACACGACTTGCTTCTTATGCTGATAACATTAAAGTTATCAAAATCATTATCACTCGTCGCAATTATCTATTTTCTTATAGATCGCAAGTGTGTAACCTTGTATTCCTCCGATGTTATTTAAGTTTTTTTTCCAGTTTCCAAGTTGCGCATGCCGTTGTTTTATCTGTTCCCCTTTATATTAAAAGCAGCTTGCCATTCGATGTTTTTTCCTCTGCCTAATATCATGCTTTGTCTTTTCATTTGTGCTCGTAATCTTTAAGCTTCCTTCCTTACATTTTGCAAACAGCAGTCAAAACTAACTCAAATAAGTGGTGCGATACTTTTTTCATGAGCATCTACGCCAATAACTTCGAAATTTCTGATCTCATAAAGGTTTATCATTTCGTACATGTTTCATATTATTTTTATATATATCATTGTAATAAGTTTTATTTGAAAATTCGTCATTGATTATTCCTGTTTCGACAAGCTACTCTTTAGTTACCTGAACAATACTACTACTTAACAAAATAAGCATATACTATAGTTTTGGTTATACTTTAAGTTAAACCATTAAGACTGGAGAATGCGCATCTTGTGATAAACATTAACGTACACGACAAATAAAACAGTAGATTGAAGGCTGTTCCTTTTGTGCTACAACATATATATGACAGAAAGTATGGACCCTATTTTGAGCAACGGTTGAATGATTGGAGAATAATTATAAGGGATTACTGCATGATTAAAGTACTAACAATGAATATTTGAAATAATATTATATACACCTTTAACAGTAAAAATAGTTCAATATAACTTTATTATCTATCAAACTATATTTAATTGTCTAGAATGTTTTATTTTGATCACCACAACATAAATATACTTTTTAAAATTCAAGGTTCATAAAAACATGAAATCACAAAAGAAATCATAAACATGTTAATATCATTATTTCGATTTATTCCCATGGGATTACTGCCAGCTACCCTTTTGTAAATAACGGAATATTTATGTCGCCATTTTATAATCCACCGAATAAATAAAACTTTATCCCGCGGTATATAGCCTATACAGTATGATTTAAATATCATGTCAAATATAAACTTTATTAAATATAGGTTGTTACTTTTCTAAACATGTATTTAATGACAATTTTTGGTTTTTCTTATAAATAGGTGCCGACCAATAAAATGATAAATGAGAAAAATCCATTAAATGGCAACAATAAAATGGGGTCAGTAAACGTGTCCGTTACAAAATAGCACTTACTACGTTAATTAATTAAAGCAAGATTAATCAGTCCTTGATCCCACATAACATGTAAGAAAGAGATTCAATCTTAAATATTTTACTTGTCCTAAAATGTTCGTACATTTTTCTCAAATTAAATTTATTTTCTTGAAATAGTTTTGCTCATCTGGGGGCATGTAGCTGTAAATATTTGATATGCATTTTGGAAAAAAATGTGCTTTTGTTTTCTTCATAAATTCTTCATAAATTCTTAAGATAATGGCCGGTATTTAGATTTGGAACTTAAATATCTGACGTAATTTTGTTTTCATATTACTTACAATGTCATAAATAATAAAGGTTGTTGCTCGATTAAAGTTGTGGTTTAATAGTGTGGTTATCCTCTTTGCATGCATAAGCTTATTTACATAAATGAAAAACTACCTTTAAATGCAGAAAAATGTCAGGAAACAACTTTTGTTTCCAGACAGTTATTTAAAAAGAGTTTTCTTTGCAATTACTCTGAAAAACACAATTTTATGTCGACCTGTGACGACCTTGAAAATAAAGAATTTTGCTTGATTTTTTTTCTTCTATAAATTGTTTTAACTTTGTTTTTCATGAATGGATGGTCTTCATATTTCAGCATAACTACTTTAAGGATAATGTGGTGAAAATATTAAACTCAATTTGACATAGACCTACACATATGAATGTTGGATGATAGAAAAATGACCTTGCCGTTTTTTTGAGATTGACTAAAGAAATAAGAAATCGAGCGTGGTCCCCGATTGGCAATGTTTCTAGATAAAGTTATTGTCATTCCAAAGGGTACTCAAGCTTAGCTTTAGATCTATTTTGATACTGTTTTGAAACATTCTTTATCTAGAAGTAGTCACACTTTATTAACCCATTACATACAGGGAAAAATGAAGTGAACTTATGCTCATTTTCCTAATGAACTGAATTGTCTATATTTATCCTAAAAATTGACAATAAAAATGGTGATTGACCAACAGTTGATATTGGATAATAATCAATAATTTACATTTTGAAGGGTGGTAAATAATTTTCAATTGATTTAAAGTAAATCTTTGGATAGTGAGACATGTCTACATCGTTTTCTAACTTGCATATTTTCATTTAAACGGAAAAAGAAAAAGGAACATTTTAATATAAACATAGTAAATGTTCTACACTTTAACGGCATGAACAAATTTACCCACCGAGCTACATCTAATATGTTGTGGTGTGTATTACCAAATTTATAAGATGTGCCTTGGCGTTGGCCATGTAATCAAACTTATAATCAAAATAATTTTTACAGTACTGACAAGTTAATTCACAAAGGCTAGCCGCATGGGTTCAAACCCTGACAGGGGCAAGTCGTTGTTTCCTTGAGCAAGAAACTTTACACTCATTGTTCAGTACTGGTTGGTTCAATGAATGGATTTTAAAGTGTGTCTATAAGCTTTCAGTTTCCCATACAATCAAACAAATTAAATTATGTATAAAACCAAAGGCTATCTATCGAAATTACTTAAATAATTTTAAAATTTTGACATCTTCATTTAGAAATTATATATATATATATATATATATATATATATATATTATCATTTTAATCAAAAATGGTTTAAAAACTCTTTTACGGTTATGTTTATGTTAACCTTGCTTTATAGTGTTTTGATTTGATAACTACGTAGGATATTGGGTCAAAGAATCTTTTCATTTTCTTTTGAAAATGCTTGGTGATTACTCAACTATAATGGAACATCGTGTATGCTTAGTTTAACCAATGTACATTTGGGCGCGACTCTTTCCTCTGTTTTTTAAATCTGACAGACAAAGTGTTTAATTGTAACAGACCAAGTGTGAAACTCTGGATTGACAGAGTTTCATTCTGATTTATTGTTCAAATGAAGTGCTAATTCTTCTTTATGTTTGTTTCTATGTATTAAGTAATGAAATTTATATTTATTTTCGCTTTTTCGGTTAATATTTCCCTATCTTCATTTTTGTCCCCTACCCCTTCGTTATTTTCCTATATTAGCAACCCTTACCGATACAAGTAGGAAATACAGAAAAAAACTGTCTTAAAGGACACCTTCATGCAAAATTTATACAAAATTACCGTGCAGTATGTGATTGATGTCAACTTTATGCAACATAAGCTTTGATATAACAATGCACGTTTTTCAGGATCTATCATCATCCAAATATATATAATCTGACATATTTTAAACAACACCCACCAACTGGCATCATGATTGGCGGCGGGCTCTAATGGTTAACACGTCGGACAAGTTATCTAAGAATTGCTGACAGCGTGGGTTCAAACCCTGTCAGAAGAAAGCCGTTTCTCATTGAGCAAGAAAATTTACATTCATTGCTTAGTACTGGTTGGTTTCCAGAACAGATTCGAGAGTGTTTAATAAGCCCTTTAGCCCCAACACAATCGCACTGAAATAAAATGGTATGAACTAAACAAACTTGCATCATCCAAATATCCGTCACATAACATCGTCTGAAAGTGTGACATTTAACGACCATCTAACATTATTCAATATCAACCAATTAATATAACTGATATTCAGCATCTTAAAATATTAAATACACATAATCTTACATATGAATTCATCATATTGCAGGGTTCAAATATCCACTTTCTAACATCTTTGACATGTATTATCCATCTATACCATTGAAATATCTACAGTCTAACATTAAAGAAATATCTAGCATTTAAAATCATTGAATTATTCATCATGTAACATCATCGATATATCCAAAATCTTACATCATCCAAATATCCACACTCTTACATCATAAAATATTCAAATTATATCAGCATCAAAATATATCGTCCATCGTACATTATCCGATTTTTGCACTGTTTGACATCATATAAATATTCAAAATCTTACAATATCATTTACATATCCACAACATTATATCATTAAATATCCACAAACTTACATCATTAATATAATTTTCATCTAACGTCATCAAAATATCCACCATATTTCATCATTTAAATGGTCACCATCTTATTTTATCATTCATTTGTTTAACATCTTACTCCATCCAAATATCAACCATGTTCAAAATATTCACTATTTTGCATAATTCAAGTATTTTCTATGTTCAACAAACGATCATACATCTGCTACATGAACACATCTGTGGATGTTTCTAAATTCAAAATTTCACCACTTTCATGCTAAAATGGTTATAATGCTAAAGCCGGTGCTAGGGAGCGTGGATGCAAGTTTATACTTGTCAGTACCGTCCATTAACAGGCTAAATCACACCAAGCCTAGGGTTTCTTATTTTCTCTATTATATGTATTTAAAACAAGAAATAATCTTGAAAACATCGTACTGTTTAGTATGTTTATAAATCAATTGTCTAATATTTCAAGATAACTGCTATGATTTTTAACAGATGATGCTGTAGCAAAGATTTGACAAAAAGGAAGAAAATGGCACAAAAGCCAGACAACCGTGCCAATTTATTTCGTTTACAAATCATCATCATAGATGGAGGCCTCCTTGTTCTACGAAATATGATTGACCAGAACCTGCTTGCTCAAGGCGTAACTTTAAGTGCATGTTTGAATAACGGAAAGGCAACAATTACACGTCTGAAAAGCCGCGGCGTTATAACACAGGTGCAATATGACTTGTTGTTCCCAACGGGTGGTCATGTCCCAACTACGTCAGAGATGGACTTCACGCTAATCGTCTGTCTTCTAAGATGCTTGAAATGTTTTGGATTGAATAAAAAATTCGACTGGAACACAACACCTATTTCAGGCGATTTAACAGTTGAGGCAGATATATGTCGATTAAAAGCTTATCGAAATCAAGTAAGTTCAAAAGTCAAAATTTACAAAAAGTCATTTCCTTTTTGGAAATGTTCAATGTGATAGAAGAATGACATATTTGAAGACAACGTAAATTGGCTTTACTCATATTATAACATTATTTAAAAAAGAAGTGTGTTTTAAATAACATTAACATTTATTTGCATAATTTTCCTGCGTCATGCTTCTCTGAATTACTTCCTTTTGGCGTACCTTCAGGTCTTACGTTAAGGAAGTTATTAATAGGTCTCATTATAAATGCACTTAAATGTAAAAGATGTTTCTTACCCAATTCTTGAATATCCTCATTACACGTATAAACGCTATTACGCTTGCTATGCGAATTATAATTTCAGATATGTCATCTACCTACAACAACTGGAGTACAACCCAATGATTTTGTAACTTGGTGGAATGACATTGAGCAGGTGAGCACAATGGTTTACAAACATTATTCATTCATCTGTAAGACCCTCCAAATCATTACTCTAAGACTTTTATGTACAATTAGTCAAAATGATAGTTATCTGAGACGATACTAGTATATCAAATAAAGTATATGTGTACATTTTAACTTTTTTGCTATTAAGTGGCGTAAATAATTGTGCATTTTCTTGAGTTAAAATTATGTATGGAATACATTAATGGAGAATAATGGGCCTTTGTAATGAAGTAAATTTTACCTATTTACATATCAAAAATCCTGAGCTATAACCATTTAAATATTACGAACTATATCGCTCAATAAATTTTGTATTGAATCGACATAGTATTACGTTCAATATCCCTTTAGAATAAAAAATCTTCGTTTCGTCGCTTACGTCAGCATGGTATATGTCATTTTATCAGTCATTTCTTTCTGCTTACCTACTTCCATTTTAAAGAATAAAGGCCCTTCGATTATATACTTGGTGTTACTTTCATAACCTTATAGTAAACATGATGCACATGTAAAATTATCTGCAAATAAAATCAGCCGGTGACAGGGTGGTATACATAAAATATGCGTTTATTTGTTTAATACAATTCATACATTTTATACTAAGACGTTTTATCAAATGTTCTGTGAGTATTTGTATGGTGAATCTCTAACATTTATAAATAAACCAACAAAGAAACTTACTTACTTACTTACTGATTTTAAAAATAAATAAACACATGCTGAGAAACTTTATCCAACCGGACTCCTTTCAGATACTTGTTCGACGAAGTTCTCCTTCTCTGAACATCCAGCAAGCAATTGCCGATTTCAAAAACTGTCCTCTAGATCCAGAGAAAGAGAAAAGGTTACAAGAAGAAATAACAAAGTTGAAAGACTATCAAGCCGATGTTAATCGATTGAATAAGGAAATTGAACAAGTGCAAAGAGATGTTAGTGAAGTGAAGAAAGACGTAAAAGAAAAAATGACTGAAGTGGAGAAAAAACTCGAGAATATAGAAAAACGACAAGATGCTGGTATTTTTTTTAATTTGTGGTCGTTTATATTGTCATAAATATTGTTTGTACAACATCTCTTAAATGATACTGATTAAAATGACAATAAATACATGTTTGCATATCTGACAGACTGGTGTAGATAAAAATATGACAAAAAATTAATACCTTGTAAAGAAATAAAAATTTGTTAATGGAATATACTGCAATGTTTGAAAGTTAACTCGTTTATTGACAATATATAGTTTTATACGACTTTGAAATTATATATCTAAAATTAATCAAGATATATACTGAAAAATTGTGTATCTATTTGACAACAGAGAGAAGTAACGAGGGCCTCTCTTATATACAAACAGAGAACGACAAATATCAACACCGCATGAAGGGTAAGAAAATATTAATACATTTCCTATCAACCAAGCCAAAGGTAGGTGAATAATAATTTTATATGAAAAGAATAGTTGGTGAATGTAATTATTTTAATTAATCAAGCAAAGGGGTAAGTGAATATCGATGTACTTTTGAATCAAGCAAAAGAAGTTTCTAGTTTAAAACACATTTTTGCTTTTTTATACGAAGACTAATGCGGTTATGTGTCATATTGTGCAATAAATATACATGTATTTGATACGGGATTGATTATTAACGGGTGGTACGAAAATTAATAATCAGTGGCGGTCGCCGCTAAAGACATATGATAATTTTTATACCGCAAAATGAAATCAATCCTTTACTTATAGACAAACATGAAATGTCTGTTTATTATATGTAAAATTTCTTTCTCTTTGTGTTTTTTTTTCTTTTTCCTTAGAAGTATGTTGTTGTTGTTTTTGTAAAAACTTGAAATATATACATTTCAACAAATATTGAACAGTTAATTCAATGCATTTGAACGGTTTGCGACTTTGTAAATTTGGCCTTTAAAGTATTATGCATTTCATCCTATCAATATAAAGAAAGAAAACACGAGTTCGTATCAAGTTTAAAGTGATCGATTCGGAACGGCACTTGCAAAACAAATATTTTTATTTGTGTTCTTGTTGCATAGCAATATTCTTGTCAGTGGTTTTGGAACGATTTAATTCTTACTTGTTGTTTTAAGTTGGCAAGCGCGATATAATTGTATGTATAGCTTCTTTCTGCAAATTTTATATAACGGTAATATTTAAAGCCCATGTGGTCAAGTGCGATATAACAGTATGTATAACTGCTGTCTGCAAGTTTATTATAATAGTATTATGTAAAGACTCTATCGTCAAGTGGGATATAGCATTATGTAAAGCTTCTGCCGGCAATTGCTTTACAACAGTATAAATAGCTTCTGTCATCAAGTGGGATGTAAAGTATCTTTTTGAAAATTAAAGTAATAAATAAAGCCTCTGCCGGCAAGTAGGACAAAACATTATGTTAGTTGGATATAAGTTGGATATAACGGTATACATCTATATAGCTTCTGGCCCCGTGTTCACAAAGATTTAATGATCAGGATAAAGATCAGGATCAAATTTAAAAAAAATCTAATATTCTTCATTTTTTTATCCTCATAGATTAAATATCTAATGTTAATTTGATAAAACTTGACTAGCATTGCCAAATTAATGAAATTCTAGAGTAAATTTATTGCTATTTTTACATGATACGGACATTTTACAGTTGATCCAAATATTCATCCTGATCCTAAAATTGATCCTTATTTTGATTCGAATATTTTGTATTTATTTTGTTATTTGTTAATTTTATCTCAAAATAGTTTGATTGCTTTGCAAATCAGCCTTTTTTTCATTTTGAATATTTACTATCTAATTCTAGCAGAACATATTTAATTTTAGTAACATAAAACAATGAAAATAAAATCAGGATCACTTGATCCTGATCTTTACTTTGTGAACACAGGGCCTGTTGACAAACAAAATATTGCAGTATACATGTATATTGCTTGTGTCTGCAAGTTGAATATAACGCTAAATATAGCAACTGTCGGCAAGTTGGATGCAACGATTTGCATAGATACTGCCCGAAAATTGATATAACTGTATTGAGGTCTCCTGTAAGACAGATATAACTGTATACACGTACATCATCTGTCTTCATGTTGGATGTAACAGTATGTATAGCTTCCGTCGGCAAGTTGGATATAACAGTCCGTAATGCTAGTGGTGGTAAGTCTGATTATAACAGTATGTAAAGCTTCTGTCTACATATTGGATACAAAAGTACGTATAGCTGCTGTCTGCAAGTTGGATATAACTTAACGTATAGCCTCTATCTGCAAATATGATATAACGGTACATATAGCATCTGTATGCATGTTGGATATAACATTACGTATATCCTCTGTCTGCAAGTTGGATATAAAAAAGTAGTATTGGGCCTTTTTCAACAAAATTTTGGGTAAAAACGGTGGGGTTTAGGGCCCGCCCGGGATGTTGGATAACAATTTTCAAATTGTTTGTGTTTTGGGAAGTCTTGAAAAAAAAATGTACCCTTTAGCATGTTCTCTAGTTTTTATATAACGGTACCTATAGCCTTTTAAAAGTTTTTGTATTTTTAAATAGAAAAAACCCCCCGTCGCAAGTTTGATTTAAAAAGTAGGTTAGGGCCCCTTTTCTGCAAGTTACATTAAAGTAAAGAAAAGCCTCCTTCCCCCGCAAGTTTGGGAAAAAAAGGTTTTTTATTGCCTTCTGCCCAAGGGAAGTTTTGGGATAATTTGCAGGGTTTATAAGCACCTTTTTGTTTGGGGGGGATAACGGGGGAAGAATTTTATAGGTTAGGCCCAGGCTAAATTAACCGAAAAGCAAAAAATTTGGGGTTTTGAAAAATCCAAAAAAAGTGTTTTTATAAAAAATGAAAAATTTTTATGGGGCTTTTAATTTTTACACGAAAAAAAATCTTTCCCCCTGAAAAAGGCCCCGGCCCCCCTTTTAGGGGGGGTTTCTGGAAAGGGGGGAAAAAAATGTTTGTGTGCCTAAATAAAAAAATTGTTTGGGAAACCCAAACAAAAAGAATTTTTAAAGAAATTGAGGTCTTCGAAACTGAAACTGCACAGATGAAAGGGGTTTAAAAAAAAAAAAGTTTTTTATACAGGTTTTTTTAACCCTGTCCCCAAAAAGGAAAAGACATTATTTTACAAACTTCTGTCAGAAAATTGGGTTTAAAAAACAAAATTTCTGTAGGCCTTTTTGGGGGGCCATGGTGGGGAATATTTTAAGGGAAATTGAATAGGGGTTTTTTGGGAATGGGTTTTTCCGGGGTTTTAATATTTAAAAGGTTTTTAGCTTACTTGTCGGGGGAAAATGGGGTTGGGGATTAAAAGCAGTAATGGGTTAGGGCTTTCCGGGGGCGTCGCAAAGGGGGGTTAGATATAAAAGATGTATGCTTTTCCTTTTTCGGAAGGGCCTTTGGGGTAATTTAACCGCGGCCCATTTATAGGCCCTTTTCTGTCGGCAAGCCCTTGGGGTTTTAACGGTATGTATAGGGTTTTTGTCAGCCCTGCGGATAAAAAACAGTATGTTTTTAGCTTTTTTGATGGGGGAAGCTTTTAAGATATTGGAAATAAAATTAAACCCCTTTTGGGGGGAAAACTTAACGGGAATTACCCGGGTTTGGGGGCCCTCTGGTTTTGGAATTTTTTTTCCAAAAAAAGGCCCGGGGGACAAAATTTTGGGGGACAGGGGGGCGAATAGTGCGGGGATGAAAGACCCAAAACGGAAAAGTGCGGGTGACGACAGGGGCGTAGGGGGAACAAAACCCAAAAAGCGGGCAGTGCACAAACGAGCACCAGTTTATGTTAAACGACAATTTTCGGCGATAAGGGGGGTTTTCCGAGTGTTATTTTTGGGGGGACAAATTTCTAAAAATAAATTTTCCAAATGGCGACAAATGCGGTTTAAAGGGGGAAAGACGACAGTTTGCTTGGGACTAATTGCCTTTTTACCCTTGGGCGATTCAGGGTTTAAAAAAGAGGTACTTGGGGGGGTTTTTGATAAAACACGGGGTCGGGGATCGTTTCCTAACCGGGGGAAATCGATTTCCCATGCATTGATTTTCATCATCGCACTGTCGCTTTTCGCTTTGTCGTCATGCGTTTCGCACTTTTTCGACATCCCGCACTTACGGTATTTTTGCACGCTCGTTTAAATCGCATTTGTGTCGACTTTCGCCTTCCGGTGCGACAATTAAAAAACTGCTGACGAATAATCCCTGATCCGGTTATAGAATATGGAGAAATATTTTTACTTTTTTCTTCTTGTTTTTTTTGTTTTCGGTTCCTTTTTTGGTTTGTTTTTTTGTTTGGTTTTTTGTTTTTTTTTGTTTGACAAGTCACTGAAAAAACATCTCAATCCAATAATTACAAAAATTAATAAAAAAAAGTAACTAATTTTCAAAAAGATAAGGAAAAAAAATATTGTCCCAAATCGATGACTTTAATTATTGAATTAAATTCTTAGATAGGGGATTAATTACTATTCTCACTTTGTACTTATATACTCAATTATATCACGAAAAATGTAATAAAACTGTGTGGAACTTTCAAAAAGTCGAAAAGTTTCAGATGAACATGATGTTATGTTTGAACATTTAAAAAGATGCAAAAATTTAATTGCCCGTCGGCGGTAGTACATAGAGGATATTCCAAGTTTTTTTCTATATATGCAGGATTTATTTTTTATCGGTATTTATACGAAAAAAGTGGTATGAAAATAAATATTTCATGAGTTGCGCTATTTTTATTTACATGTAACTTTTTTTTCTAATTTTTACCATTACTGATTACAATTTGATAGTCTTAGCCTTAAAATTTTGCATATCGGCTGAATCTAGAAGAAAGTAGTCCGGCAAGACAACAATGAAAATTTACGGAAAAAATGTTTCACTGCAGTCAAGAACAAATTTTACATTGTAAATGAAAAAAAATACGCATTTCATTTCTAATTCATAAGTTTTCTCTATAATTCTTAATATAGATCATAATAAATCTAACTTGTCGGCTTTGTTTAATATAAAACATATAGCTATTCTTGTTATATCTTCGATTGGTCATCAGTGCCTTACTTTTTTCATGATGTAGAATTTATTATATATACTAACAGCGTGTTAAAAAAAGTATGTTAAACTTAATTTTCTCTGTATATCTTATATAAGTGGTCAGCAATTTTTACTATAAGTTTAACTGTCGGTCAGCCGATGCTTCTATATGTTTGACTGGTCTGCATATTCTATTTACGTTTAAGTGGTCCGCAGTTTTTCGCATGACGTTAGAATATAGAATAAGAAGAAAATACGGCAAAAACACACAAGCAATTTCTTTTGTATTTTAG